GCACTGCCCGGCCCCTTTAAGCAAAGAGAGTAAGAACCCTTCTAGGCAGAGCCTAGGTAGGGAAAAATACCAAATACCCAAAAAATAATCAAAACATAATCCAAAAATAGCCTGGGGACTATTTTGGGAGTTTTTTTTGGCCTTCTTGGGGTATTTGGGGGTATTTTTAATTTTTCGTCGAAAATCCCCCTGTAGGGGGACACGCCCGACATAATCCTCGTCCCCCCCCCGATCGGAAAGCCTCGTGGGGGTCCCAGGTTTCTGCGATCCGCTCCCGCTCTCCGTTCGGGGGCGGAAAAGAGGGGGGTGATGACTAGGGGGGGTGGATATCATGGCGGGGGTCATGATATTTCCCCAGATTTCATGGCGCCTCTTCTTATTTCGTTACGTCCCTGGCCCCCCCGCTGGGCCGCGCACATGCCGCCGGTCATGATTTGCACCCCCCCCTCTTGGACACCCCCCTCTTGGCCGCTCCCGTCGCACGGCGAGGGGGAGGAGGAGGACGGCGACGACGAGGACGACGATGACCCTGACATCTTCTCGCTGCGGCGAAATCACGACGGAGGGTCTGCGACAATCTTCTGCATTCGGGGGCCCTCACTGGCCTTGGGGAAGGGGTCCAGACTCCCCAGACGTCGGGCGTCTCGATGTTTTCGAGATGTCCCCGACTGCTCGACACCTTCCCCAGGACCAGTTTTTCATCCCGAGTCGCTTTTGATGGTTCCGAGGCCTGAGAAGGTCCCACAGAGACCCAAAACTATGCAAATTTGTTGTTTTTGCTGAGACGCCGGATGTCTGAGCAGTGAGAAAGCCACGACGGAGGACGTCTGGGGAGCACGCCGACGAGGCGGAGGGCGAGGAGGAGGACGGTGGCGGGGGGCCAGCAGGGACAGGAGGGGAGGCCGAGTAGGAGCGGGGCCGGGGGGAGGGAGGCTGTGCACGGGGCGGGGGAGGACGACGAGGAGGAGGAGGAGGAGGCTGAGGTTGAGGGTGTGGATGGGAAGGAGGGGGCAGAGGATCAGCCGCGCGCAGAGGGTGCGGGCCTCAGAAGGTGCGGGCCTCGACTGTAGATGTAAGGCCAGGGCCTTCTAAGAGGCAGCCTCCTTCTAAGGAGGCCTCCCCCCTTCCTCCACCCCCTTTGTGCGCACCGCCAAGAGCAGGAGGAGGGTTACCCTGAGATCCGCGAGCCGCACGTCTGTTCCCCTGCGGGGGTGTTCGCCTGCCTTCGGGCCCCGGGACCATCAAAGATCTTCGTCTGGCCCGCAAGCACGCTGCAGACAGGTAGGGTCTAGTATGGTTTCGGTCGCGATATTTCGCGATGTTGCAATGTGTTCGCAACTTCGGACCTCAGGGTACATCTGCGCGAATGAAATGGGTACGGAAAGAATGGGTACAATGCCCAACAGCAGTTCCTGTTCATTTTGAACAGGACTCGCTGTCCACGCCGCCGCGGCCTGTGTCCATTCGAGACAGACGGCCGCCTGCCCAACAGCGGCCGCTGTTGCTTTGGGACAACATTTGTTGTTGGGCATTGTGCCCGTTTTTTCCGTACCCATTTCGGGCGTCCAAAGTACAGACGGGAGAGCCCGCATGAGTCAGGGCCAGCGTTTCATGGCACCATCTCCCTCCTCGAAGGCAGAGGCGGAAGCGGTCACCGCGCCGAAAATGAAGGTGAGACACGACGCTTCGAAGATAGGCTGCGCTCCGTAGCGGCCATGCTGCTGCTTGTGCTGGCACCGTTGCTGGTGTAGGTTGTGTTGCAGACGTGTATATTCATCGCCATCGCTGTCGAAATTGCCACAATTGGTTCCCACAGTGCTTCCTTGGCAGTATGTATTGATGTAGCCATTACCTTCGAGCTAATTGTTGTCATTGGCTTGTGCATCCTGCCGCCGAGCCGCATCATAGGCACAGTGCTGCCCTTGTGTGTTGCGGCGATGTTGCTTCAATGCAGCCACCACTCAGGTTGAAAAAAAACACAGACACAATGAATCGTCGATTCCCCAGAAAAGATGCGAAAATATGGGAAGTGGGGGGGAGACGAAAATCCAGAAAATATAAGAAAATATGGGGAACAATGGGATTTGTATGTGTTTATTTGTGTGTCCTTGGGCCCCTTGAACCACGGTGGTCGGTGATCGTCGCACCCTGAGCAGGCCATCCGCCCGCGACGGCGCACTCTGAGCACATCAGCTCTTGGCTTAAGTCGGGCCTGTCCTTCTTTTACAGGGGGAAGAAGAGAAACAAAGAAACAGAAAAAAACAAAAACACTTGTTCGTCCGAAATCCCCCTGTAGGAGGACATGCCCGACCTAACTCTTGGCCTGCGGTGCGCCCAGAAGTGCGTCTCGGGACTGGCCCGTGCTGCGCTCGCCGCAGCCGCCCAGCTCCAGAAAGGCGCCTCCTCCCTACAGGGGGGACATTCCAAGCTAGTCAAAAAATAGTCTGGGGACGATTTTTCGATGATGTTTGGCTATTCTTGGATATGGTTCGCATATGTTTAATCTTCGTCCAAAATCCGCCTGTAAGAGGACATGCCCGACCTAACCCTACAGCCAAGGGGCTGTGGTTGTCTTGCCTTTGCTCTGATGTGGGTCCGGGAACCTGTTCGTGGCCGAGGCTCGCCGTGGCCAGAAAAGTTCGTTCGATCTTTTTTCGGCGCTGCTCATGTTGGCACGATGATTGTAAGTATTGGGGGAAGGGTTCGGCTTCTGTGGCCCTGCGGATGCACGAGGAGGGTCCGCAGTAGCCGAGGCCGGCAGAAGCGGACTCGATTAGCTCCGGCGGCACATCGAGTGTTCCCGACGCTTTTGTAGGGCCTTCCGCAGCACGTGTGATGTATCACGCGCGCCGATCTTGGTAGGTCTGCTCCCCGACAAGCTTGCCTGGAAGCAGCAGAAGAAACAACCACATAAACATGAGCTTTTGGCGCTCCGCGCGGATTTCTTAGACGCGCGGAGCGCCAAAAGCTTATGTTTATGTGGTGGTTCCTTCTTCTAGGAAGGGCCCTATGCAGTGATGATTGTCCTGGGCACCTTGCCTGTAAGAGTCGTCTGCAGTGTCTCGAGGCGCGTGCGAGGTCCTCCGGCAGCGGAGTCGGTGGCTCGTGGTCTCCCGCGCATGGTCTCCCGTGCGCTGTCTGGCAAGGCCTCCCGCGCGCTCTCCGGGGTGGTCTCCCGCGTGCGCCCCCGTGCGTTCCGTGCGTGGTCTCCCGCGTGCTCGCCCGTGTGTGCTGTAGGGTACGGTGTTGCCTTTCTACCAGTGCAGTGCGGTGGAGGCCCGCGCCAAGAAGCACCCTGCTTGCCTCCAGGGTGCCCTGGGTTTCTTGGGTGTCAATGGTTTCGCCATGGAAGGCGCGACGCTCCCACGCCAAAATTCAGTGGACGGCCTTGGGGCCTCAGGGTTGGACTTCTTGTGGAAGGGTTCTTGTGGGCTGGCTTCCACTGCATGGTGTAAAGGATGGTGTACAGTACAGTCCAGTATCTGTGCTGTACAGTATGGCGTGCAGTTATGTGTGCTGTACAGTATGGTGTACAGCACAGTCTAGTTATGCTGCTCGGGGCATTCTGCCGCCAGGGCCTAGTCTAAGGCCGGGTGGTAGCCCGCGCGATCACAGTCGGTGGTTCGTTGTCTGTGGTCGAGGTATATCGGTGTCGTTGTTCGTGGTCTTTGAACGTGGTTCCTTGTCGCGGCTCGCGGCCTCTGGCCTTATGTGCGATATCTCGTAGTATGGTATATGTTGCAAATGCATTCCCGCAGAGTATGTGTGTTTGCTTTGCGGCAAGTTGTACTGTACTGTGTTGTGCCATAGAACCGGACAGTGCAAAGTAGCATAAGCGCGTCTTGGCAGTATTGCGGTGGCTCTGTACGTATCGTGCGCTCCTGGCGCTCTCGAACAAGCTCGGCCATTCGGCCGCCAAGGGTGCAGGTCAGGCCCAAGACGAGGCGCCCCAGTTGTAGGCAGTGCCTCAAAGGGAAGGCCCACGTCAGCCGAAATTGGCCGACTTGCCCCCGAGTTCGCCGGGTGCCGGGCCGACTGCGAAGAGGGATGCGCTCACTGGGCAGACGCAGTGCGCCAGAGTTCCTCTAATGTTTCCGCGGCCCTGGGTCGCACCCCCCCAGCGCCTGAACTCGAGACGAGACCCTGCCCCAGAAGGCAGGGAGAGGCCGATCTTTATGTTGCTCCCATCGTACTTAAGGACCACATCCCAGAAATACTTTCGAGCTCCCAGACAAGTGTCGAAAGAGTGTCGAAAGAGTGTCGAAACAGTGTATCCCAGGGCCCGACACGTGAAAGCCCTCGAGTTTTTGGGTGCGCTCGAAATCCTTTCTGGTGGTCAAGGCTAAAGTAGGTTGGAACATCATAAGCCGATCTCTCGGCGCACACCGGTGTCGATGCCATCCCGCTGCCACGAAGGAGCAGAGGCTTGCCTCGCTCCCTGGCCGCCCCCACCACCCACGGACCCCGCGCGAGCTGTGCTGGACATCCGCCACAGAGAAAAATACACCGCCGCCCTCCAATCGACTGCTCCTGGGCCCCAGGGGAGGGTGGCGGTGCATCAATCACAACTGGGAGCCAGCGACTTTCTACGCCGCCGCCCTCCATGAAGGTACATGCAGGGTTCGTAGGAGTGTGTGTACAGTGCATTTTTTATACATGCTCCGCCTGCGGATCATGTATTAAAAATGCAGGGATCTAGTATTAAAAACAAGGATGAGTTCATGCATAAATTCATTCATAAATCAATCATGTATTAAGAACTGCCCTGTATACTGCTTCGTGGCGTAGGACAGGCTCCGCGGGAGCCCACTGGCGGAGCCCTCTGTGCCGTCTGCCCAGGGCGTCCTCCTCCGCGGCCCCCCCCGCCGAGAGAGGGGGGGCGAGCCCAGAGCGCCCGCGAGGCGAGGGCGAGACCGTCGTCATGACCCTCGCGGACAAGCCGCTGCTGGACAAGGACGGGAACCTCGCGGGCGGAGAGGACGAGCTGTCGAACGTTAGGACCGCGCGCCCGGCTTCCCTCGGGGGGGGGAGAGCGGCGCCCCGGAACTCGCCAGCCAGGGGGGAGTACGGAAGGAGAACGCGAAGAGAGTCGCGTGTCCGTCGCGGGCGTTCCAGAGGGGGGCTCTCGCCTTCCGGGTAGCGATGGGATTGGCGTCCCTTCCTCGGCGGGAGGCCGGCGTAAGCAAATGAGGGCGGCTCCGCTGGCGCAAGTTGGCGAAAGCAGTAGCAGCCACCCAAGAGACGACAGCATGCTCAGATTCAGGGATTCCGGAGCGGGTGTTAAAATCTTCCAGGGTTGAGTAGGAGAAGGAGGACATGCAAGCCATATTAAACCGTGCGACTCACCAGGTGTGGCTTACACGTCCATGTTTAAAAGTGTTAGGATTGGAATTGTCATGACATATGCCCTACACTTTCCTGTTTCGTGATAGGGGGAGAGTTCCCCCGCGCCGCGCTAGCTGAAAGTCCTAATCAAAAGCCAAATTGTTTCTACCACGTTCCTCGTGCATGCTCTCATCTAATGCGCGGGAAGTTGGATACACATGATTCACGCGGCCGTCCTGGGCGAGAGCTCGATACACATGTGAGCAGATGTCCATCAAGTGTTTGGCCCTTTGTTTCCAGCTCCCTGATACTTTACCCGAGCGACCTGTATGGGCACTCCGAGTCCGAAGACTCGCTCGGTCTACCCCAGGGCCCATATTCTTGAATATGCGACCCCCTTGCGCAGCTCACCTGAAGAGGAGGACGACGAGAAAGAAGGGAGGGTAACGAGAAGGAGGATGAGACGGCGAGGGGCAAGGAAGAGGAGGAGCGTGAGAGGAGGGGGAGGAGGGGAAGGAAGAGGAAGACAAGGACAAGGAAAGGGGCAGAGAAGCAGAAGAGGTGGGCGAGGAAGAGAAGGGACGAAAGAGGGACGGAAAGAGGGAGGGAGAGAGGGAAAGGCTTGCACCAAGCTTTCCGCCGGTTGGCTCTGCGCCGCCCAAGCAGAGTCTGATTCTAGACGCGTCGCGTGTTCCCACCAGCCCATCCAGCGGCCGGTGCCTCGTTTGTCTGGGAAGTCTAACGTATTGTGGCAGTGCCTAATCACATTCGCCTGGTCTCGTCTGGTCGTGTGCGGTCAAGTCTGGTTTGGACGGACGTAGTGCCATCTGTGCCGACCTGATATTGTCTGGTTTGTTTGGCGCTAGATTTGATTGTGGGTTTGTGTGTACAAGATCGGGCATCAAAGGATTCGCGGCTTGCTTGGCAGTTATTGTATGCATTCCCCTTCTCCGCCTCGTTGTCGTGCCCCTTGTCGGCCTCCACTTACCGCCATCGAAGTATGTGTCCTTATGTTGTTGCCATGTCTCCCCTTCCCTCTTCTCAACCGGCCCGACCGGGACATCGGCCCCCCACTCAGTCTGCCAAGTGGTGGGCGGGCGGTGTCCCTTTTGCGGTTGTTTTTGGGGGTGTTCCGGGCCCTCTCAGGCTCCCGTTTGCTCTCCCTCCTCCCCCCCCCTGCTCATTCCCGCTCCTCCTCGTGCTGTTTCGGGTGCCTCTCCGTGTCGGGCGGCCGTGCGGCAGCGCCGCGTGCCCGCCCGCCGCAGGCGGCAGCTGGACCCCTCGTCTGCGGCGCTTGACCGCTTCCCTCCTCCTCCGCCTTGCCTTTCCGCGCCACCTTCTTACTGCCACCTCCCCTGTACCAGCGATGTGCCCGCACCCTCTGGGGGAGCGGGGAGGGAGTCAGACCTTCGGGCACGACACGGGTGGCCTGCTCTCCGCCAGTCTGGTCTGCACAGGTCTTCGGGGGAGGAGGAGGAGGAGGAGGAGGAGGAGGAGGAGGAGGAGGAGGAGGAGGAGGAGGAGGAGGAGGAGGAGGAGGAGAGAGGAGGAGGAGAGGAGGAGAGGAGGGAGGAGGAGGGGGAGGGAGGAGGAGGAGGGAGGAGGAGGAGGAGGAGGAGGAGGAGGAGGAGGCGGAGGAGGAGAAGCGGAGGAGGAGGAGGAGGAGGAGGAGGAGGAGGAGGAGGAGGAGGAGGAGTAGAGGAGGAGGAGAGGAGGAGGAGGAGGAGGCGGAGGCGGAGGAGGAGGATGAGAGGAGGAGGAGGAGGCGGAGGAGGAGGAGAAGGAGGAGGAGGAGGGGGATGGAGAGGGAGGGAGGAGGAGGTGCAGAGAAGAGGGGCAGGTGGAGGGGGAGGCGAAGGAGGAGGGGGGAGGGAGAGAGGGAGGGAGCCGCTCCTCCCCCCGCCTCCTCCTCATGCCCCCGGCCGCCTGCCCTATAGGAGGTCTCGGCCCCCCCCCTGGCCACCCGCGGAGGGCGCGAAAGTCATCGCGCCTCGCGCGTCGGGGCCTGGGCCAGGGGGGCTGGCCCTCTCCAGGGCCGGCGCGAAGGTAGCCGCGCGTCTCCTGAGATCCTGGCGCCTCAATTCTAGACGCTTCGCGCAGCCCTCCCAGCCCATCCAGAGAGACGGGGCCCAGAAGAGTTGCCCTGCTCAGGGATGTGGAGGAGCATGCAGTGGAATAGAGGGCTGGGTAAGACGTCGTACCCCAAGAGGGGGAGGATGGAGGAGGAATCGGAGGAGAAGGGGGGAGGGGAGGAGGGAGGAGGAGGAGAAGGAGGAGGAGGAGGAGGAGGAGGGCGAGCAGAAAGACCAGAGGCCTCTTGGATGCCTCTCGATGTCTTTTCGGATGTCTTTCTGGAGCTTCTTGGAGTCCTCTTGGGGCGTCTTGGGGATCGCTTGACAGTCCCGGGGGCCTCTTGGGGCGTCATGGGTGCCTCCCGGGGGCCTTTTGGGGCCTCTTGGAGGTTTCTTGGGAGCCTCTTGGGGGCCTCCTGGGGGCATCTTTGGGCCTCCTGGGTACTTCTTGGGGTGGTCTTGGTGCACCCTTTGGAGCCTCGGGTGCCATCTTGGGGCCATCTTGGAGAAGATCGATCAAAGGAGAGGAGCTCCTTAATTAGCATCCCCCCCGCAGGAGGCAAACATGTGGCCAACAATGATGTGTGCCTTCTCGCGGAGGCCGTGTTGGACGCTCCACCCCCTCGCGACCCCCCCATCCAGGTCCAGGGGGAGGGGGGAGGGGGATGGGTAAGCCCTTCCCCGAAGGGAGGAAAGAAGGGGGCTGGAAGAGGAAACGCTCTAAACCACTCACGCCCTCAAGGGCTAGTGGGATTCCAGACCATTTTTGTTGAAGTGACAGCGCCCCGCGTGTGTTTGGATCCTCGTTTTGAAGAGACAGCGCCCCGCGTCTCCTCCCATCCTCCCCTCCTCCCACCCTCCCCTCCTCCCGTCCTCCCATCCCTGCCTCTGCCCTCCGCATGTCAATTTCGACAAAGCCCTCACACGTTTCGTGGCCCCATGGGGAGCTCCACCTGAGGCCCCAGTGAGTGCGTCACACGCGGCTCCACGCCCATTTCGGCACACCCTTCACTCGGGTCGTGGCCTCATAGGAGTCTCCACAGAAGACGAGACTCACGACAACAGACTTCACAACCGCACATGGCCGGGCCCTTCGCGAGGACAATGTTTCAAGCGGGGCGGTGTCGCCCAGCTTCAGGCCCCAGAGCCGTAACGGATCGACCCGGCCCGAGAAACGGCGCAGAAGGCGAACATCAAAGAAATATTGACAAATACGGGACATCCTGGGATGGGTATTTCTTTGCGTGTCCCTGGGCCCCTGCACTTGCATCCTCTCGGGGCACCGGGCCTCCTTGGAGCCCCTCGCGCCTCCTCCACGAGGCTGCAGTCCTCTCGCAACCGTCGGACCTCGGGCTCGCGCGGTGCGGGGCGCGGGGCGCGGGGCGTGAGGCGACCTGTATGGACCCCTCCCTATGGGGCTGGCCTCGGGCGTCTCCTGGCAGTCTCGGTGCCCGCTGCTCTGGGCCTCCTAGTATGAAGTCGGGCCTGTCCCTCTACAGGGGGAATCTTCAAAAATAGTCGGAAAATGATCTGGGGACTATTGTTTGAACATGTTGTTGCCCTTTCGGAGTGTTTTTCTTTAAACTATTTCTTATTTTTCGTCGAAAATCCCACTGCAGGGGGACACGCCCGACTTAATCCTAGTAAGTAGATGGGGTCCAAGCAGATGGGGTCGGAGGACCGCGCCGCATCGCCGATGCATCGCCGACGCATCGGCGATGCGGCTCGATGTGGAGCCCGATGTTCTCCACGCCGACGTCGCCGATGCATCGACGGCGTCGACAGAGCATCGCCGATGTATCGGCGGTGCGGCGAGTCCCTCCCGCCCCACACGCTCGGACCCCGTCTGGGAGGGCGGAAGTCCGAGAGGGCGGCCTCGAGACCCGATCGGCACACCCCTCGCGCGGATCGCGGGCACTGCCGCCGGCCCGCGGGGCGGCGGGGCCGAGGGCCCCGGAAGGGGGCAGGCAGCGGGCCGAAGACGTCACGCCGTGGGCTTCCTGGCCCGCGCCGCGCGGGGGGGTCCGGCTCTGCCCTCCCCCCCCCGGAGCGGAGAGGGGGAAGAAAATAACAAAAAACAAAAAAAACAAATCGCCCCTCTCGGCCTGTCCAGGCGCTCGCTCGGGCCAGGGTTGCCAGGCGGATCTGTGTAGCCGCCGCTGCTACCAGAAGCCCTCGGGGGGCCCCCGAGAGGGGGGCCCGGCTCTGCCCCATCCCCCCCCCGGAGCGGAGGAAAAAAAATCGTCCCTCTCGACCTGTGCAGGCGCTCGCTCGGGCCAGGGTTTCCAGGCGGATCTGTGGTGAAGTCGGGCCTGCCCTTCTACAGGAGAAATATTCAAAAATAGTCCAAAAATAGTTTGGGGACGATTTGTTCTTGCTTCTTCATCATCTGGGAATAGTTTTGTATATTCTTCGTTTTTCGCCCCAAATCCGCCTGCAGGGGGACATGCCCGACCGAATTAAATCTATAGCCGCCGCTGCGACGAGAAGCCCTCCAGAGGCCCCCGAGAGGGCGACAGTCAGTCGATGGTCCTGAGGGCGTGTGCTACAGTCGACCCGTACAGGAAGGATGCGCGGTAAGAGTGCAAGGGCCTTGGACGCCA